GTTGGCCCTGGTGGCTGGGCCCTCCCCACAGTGACAGTGGCCTCAGGGCCACTCCCTTCCATCCCTTCCTGCCTCATCCTTTTCGCTGAGTGGCCGGCCTTGGACTTGCCTGTGGCCCTGACCCCGTCTGCAGTGGGCAGGACCGGGGAAAGGCAAACGGCCCAGTTAGGAGACCAAGGCCGGAGCTGGGGAGAGCCAAGGGGAGGCCTGACGGGCAGGAAGTTCCACGAACAAAATACCCAGCGTGAACCTTAGAATGGACAGATTGGATCGGGTCAGAGCTCCAGCAGAGGCTGCCCTGCCCCCTGACAAATGCACCAAGTGAGTTTGCGCCAACGCTAGGTGGCAGCGTGCACACCTTCCAGAGAGCTCCCCACGCAGGCTGGTGCCCACGCGCTGCTCGAACTGGTCCGCGTGAGAAGAGGGAACGTTCTCAACGGCCCTTTCCCTCGCACCCACCCAGACACCGCCACTCAGGAGCCGCGTGGCCACTTGCTCCGGGCCACCCCAGGCCACCCCCCCGACGCGCCGGAGGGCGAGTGAGCTCCTTGTGCTGCAGCACACACGGGCTTCCCGACAGCCTCTGCCGGACCCTGCCTCTCCCTCCTGAATGGTCTCTAAAAATCCGCACAAACGTCCGAAGGGGAACGGGCCCACGCTCCGCAGATGTCCTTCCTGGGAGGGGCGGTGCGGCTGCACGTTCTGCTTCAGGATATGGGAAGGGCTGGGTGTGCTTTTCTTTTTCAACGAGCACGGGCTGTCGCGTGGAGTTCAAGCACTGGAAGCAGCGCATGCACCCCACGCACTCGGACCCGCAGCCCCCACGTGCTCCTGCAGGAATCCTGGCTCCCGGATTACAGGGGGCATGCGGCATTAAGGACCATGGTGGGAATACTAAAATGGAAATGTGGATAAAATGCCCGTTGTATTGGCTTTCCCAGGCGTTTCGGAGAAGCAGAGGCATCTTGCTGGGAGCTGGGTGATGGGGGTGTGCGTTGCGTCCCCAGTGGGAAAGTGTCACAAGGAACCAGGAGCCCAAGAGGGAGACAGGGTTCCACAGTGTCACCCCCAGTACCTAGGAGTCCTCGTGTGAGTTCACGAGGAGTGCACGGCCCCACTCTAAATGTCAGCAGAATGGAAGTGAGCGGGGGCCCCAAGCCCCTCACTCAGGCTGGCAGGGCCTGTCAACCCTCCAGCTTTCCATCTGAGTGGTCCTGAACCACGTCCGAAAACCATGTACCCAGCAACCAGCAAGGGTAAGGGCCAGTTCGCAAAACGGCCCACGTGTCTGCGTGAGTGCACCCATGTGCAGTGTGGACATGTGTGTATACGCGTGGATCTGTGTGCGTGTGAACTGCACACCCGTATGCACACACTTCCACATGCATTCGTGCACATCTGTATTTACATGTATACCTGTGTGCATCCATGTATGTATACACATGCGTGTGCATTCACGGATGCCCATACCCACGCCTGTGCACACCTGTGTGTTGTGTGTGTGCACTCTGCTGCACCCTGACAAGCCTGATCTGGTGTTCTGTTCTGACGTGTGATCAGGGACTGCCAGTGGTGACCTGTCAGCCAGATTCCGTGGACCGGTCGGGCCGTCTGGGATTGGCTTCCCCTCCTGGGACCAACTGTCCACGGCCACAGGGGTGGGTCACAGAGGGGACACTGTTCACACCACACCGAAGGCCTGAGGGCGACCCTGAGCGGCAGGACTCGAAACCAACGTTCCGAGTGTGCTTGCCGGCACGCCGGGAATCTGCCAAAGGGCGTCCTGACAGCTGCGGATGCTGCCTGGGGAGTGTGGTCTGCCACACAGGGTGGGTGAAGCCCCACGCCCCCTCAGAGCCTGCAGTCCACACAGCAGGGGGCGTGCACCTGCCCCCAGGCTGACCCCAGCCTATCTCCGCCCCCTCGCGTGCCTCCAGGCTGACCGCCCCCCACGCTCATCCCTGTCCCCAGGCGGGCCCACAACCCCTTGCCTGCCCTTGCCACGGACTGACCTCCCACCCCACAGCCCCCCTCGCTTGTCCCCAGGCTAGCTTCCGCCCTTGGGCTCCCTTCCCCCACCGCTGGCTGTGGACTGATGTTACCACCGTGCAAAAACAGCCCCGTCCCCTCAGGACAGGTTTCAGGAGTTCTGTGTCACGCGTCACGTGCACAACAAACAGTTTACTGTTTGCACTTCAGTTTCCCCAGGACGCAGAACAATCCCCTGGAGCGATGCCCAGCTCCACCGCATGCGCGTGCGCAACCCTGGAGGTGGGACGGCGGGAGCGCGGGACAGTGGCCAGGGTGCCTGCTCACCCTCCACCACCTCACAGGACAACCAAGCCATGGCGGGGGGGGGGCGTCCCGACACGCCTCAGCCTCATTCCCTCACCTGAACCTGGGCCCGTGTGTGCTGATGGGAGCCGGGAGGCAGGCGTCCAGCGGTGGGGTGATGCCGGTCAGTCAGATGACCAGCGGGGGCAGGAACGGGCAGGGGGCTCCTGCAGGGGGCAGTGGGGAGGGGCCGGCCGTGGCTGCCCCAGCGGAGAGGCCTGTGGAGGGAGGAGTCACACCGCCTGTGTGACATCACTAGACCCTTTGCCTGTGGCCATAAACAACACTGTCCCCTTCTGGGGGGCGTGTGCACCTGCCCGTGTCCCTGGCCCCCGCTTAGTGCCGCCCTGGCTTCTCCTCTTGGCTCCCTCCAGGGCGGCCATCGGACTGTCCAGCTGGACGCTGGCCCCTGGGGGACAGTGGGGCTGTCCTGGGACGTGGCTGGCCTGCCCTGTGTCGGCTGGGCTGTGGGTGCCACGGGGAGCTCAGCACCAGAGGTCAGCCAGGAGGCTTCCAGAGCCAGAGGACTCCACTGACACCTGGGGGTCATTTGAAACGCCACGGACACGGGTGCTCAGTCCCCAGTTAGAGGCGTGAGACCCACACTCAGGTGGAAGACAGAGGCACAGCTCTACTTCAACTAGAACTTACCCGCATTCTTAACTTCCCATACCTTATAAAACTGTCCCACCTTCAAAACTAGCTCCCAGGGCGCTAACGTCTGCTCACAGAGAAATGTGAGCTAAAATACTGCAGCCGTTTACCTGCCATGAGGCAGAGAGAAATTCGAGGGCTGCCAGCCGGTGCAGGGCAGGGGCGGGCGGGCAGGGGGTTCCTGAGGGCGAGCCTCAGTTTACCGCGGAGCACACTCCTACCTCCCAGGGACTCGGGTGGCCCTGTGGTCCAGCGAGGACACAGGTGCAACCAGGGGGACGTGCCTCTGTCAGGAGCTGGGTCACGGACACGCAGGAGACCGGGCAGCCCCACGAGATCGGTCCGTGAGCACAGTGCACCCCGACCATGCACTGAAGGCAGATGCACGGCAGCAGGTGGGATGGCCCACACGGTGTCCAGGGAGGAGGTTCCCCCCCACCACGGACACGCATGTAAACACATACGGACACACATGCACGGACACACAGGGATACAGGCCCACGGACACACGGACACTCATCCAATTGTTAACAGTGGCTACCTCTAGGGAGGAGGAGAAGAGCCAAGGAACTCACTGCTGATGTTTGTTTTGTACACAGTGAGTCAGACGTTTATCCCTCTCTGTGCAAAAGTTACACCCTCCCCGCCCTGAACCAGGCCATGTGCACGCCCGGCGCGGAGCAGTGCATCCCGAAGCGGTCGTGTGCCGGCCCCTCTCCTGGGGTCACTGGGCGTCCGTGACACGTCTTTGTCCCGTCTGCATGTACATAAAGAAGGCTTCGTCTGCTTTAACTAGAACTAGGCTGCGTGCCCGTTAGCACGAGCCAGGTAGGAGGAGGGCCCGTCCCTGGGGACGTCACCTCCGAGACCTCGGGCCACCGCACGGGCCCGGTCCTCCCTCCCAATTCCCCAAGATCCCCAACGATTTTTTAACATAAGGAGATCAACAAACAAAATCAAAGGTAAATGGCCTGGGGGAAAAATGCTCGTAACCTAAGTGCCAGGGCTTGGAACTCCTGCTGCGTGCAGCATCCTCACTGGGCAGCACCCCGGCCCAATGGGGCACGTAATCGAAAGCACACACGTGGGTGCCCACGCGTAAACACGGACAGTGCTAAGGACCCTAGAGGGGGAGCTGTGCTCACTAAAGCCGCCCCAGCAAGCAGGCCAGGCAGTGATGGCGCCGCACGGCGGACACGGGGTGGTGGGGCTGCTGGAGGCCGGCCATGGGACGGGAGTAACTATGAGGAAGAAGCGGGGTGCGGCTTTCCTTCTGCTTTTACATTAAACTGGCATTTCTCTTTCCTTTTAAACTGGAGATACATGGTCGAAATGAAGATTCATCACAAAATGGCCCCAAACCGGGGCCTGGGTGACATGGAGACCCCTCCCTGCACGTCGGGCCCCACTGACAACCCCCCCGCACCCCCAGAGGAGAAACTGGAACTTTGCAGGGCCTCCAGGGGCCAGCGCCCCAGAGAGAACTGAAAGAGAAACAAAGGGCAGGCAGGGCAGGGGTGGGGTGAGGAGAGGCAGGCTGTGCGCGGGGCTCCTGGCGCCCGGCACGGACAGACGCCCCACACAGCAACAGCCGGACCCGACCTTTGGCCCCCGGAGCACACAGGGAGCTGGGACCAGCCGTCTGCGGGACCCCACTGAGGCTTCTACGAGAGTCGGCTTCGCGAAGCTGGGACACAGGTGCAGAAACCACGCGTCTTTACCTGTATCTTGCGCCTCCAGAACCTCCCCTCAGTCGTTTCTAGGACGGAGTCTTCAGAAATCTTGGCTCTGAAAATAACAGGAAAGGAGACTATTTCAACACGTTAAGTCCTCCGTCCACGCACCCTCAGCATCACTCCTGGAGGGGCACTGAAAAGAAACTCTTGCATTTTTTTTTTTTTTAAACCTCCAGACCCCAGGATGGGTGTGGCTTTCCTGCCCTTGTGCCAACGGGAGGGAGGAGTGAGTGTGCAAATCGCGCCCATAAGGGAAGTGTAACCTGGCGAGTCCCCAAACACCGACCACAGCCACTTCCCTGCGAAGTAAGCCAACCAAGTACGTCCCACGGTCCTGGTTAGCCATTTGCCGAAAGAGAATCAGGCTATTAGTTTCAGATCCGTATCCTTGAGAACTCATCCTCACGGAAATCCAGCAGTCCGGGGGGAGCCCTCAAAATGGGACGCCCGAGTCCAGGAGGACGACAAACTGACAGGATCGGAATGGCAGCCCCAGGGGGCCCTGTGCAAGGTACGTGAACGTGTCGACATCGGTGCTGGACCCTTCATGGTTGCGAGTGATCTAGCACAGTTTTTAAACCTCAGAATCAAATGCTAGCATTTTTTGGTGGTTGGAATATTTTTGTTTTCTTTTGCTTTAAGAGCTGGTACAGTTCTTGCCATTCTCTGGAAGACAGCTGAGAAGTAGGAGGTGCTCGCTGGAAGCAGGGCCGACGCCCCGTCTCTCCCACACGGCGCCCCTGGAGTGGGGCCAGTCATCACGCCCACACCACAGACAAGGCTGGCACCCCACTCCCACACCTGCAACGCACGACTCCCAGGGTCACCCGGGGCCCCTCGCGGCCCGAGACACGTCCCGTGAATCCCGAGCAAATGAGACCCCCGGGTATTGGTGGAAGTGGTTAGGATTCCTTACGTCTCACTGTGTCGGGCTTGCAAAGGCCGATTCTGGGTCTTTCTGATTCTGGATCAGCTACTGCTGACGGCCAAGTTCTAAGCAGAAATATCTTCACGGATGAGCATGCAGGGAAGCATCCCCCGACAAGGCTGTGCCCCCCCGCACCCAGAACCCACGTCTGCTGTTTGAACGAGGGGGGACGTGCTGCCGCAGCTGATAGACAACAGGCAAACGTGACCACCCGTGGGCTTCACCTGTTCGCACAGGCAGGCAGCACACAGTGGCCACATGCACGCCCCCCAAAACACTTGCGGGAAAACGAAAGCAATTCACGCAGAAGCAAGAGGTTTACATAAACAACCTGAATGCCAAGAAACTTTAAACTGAAAGACTTCTCTCTTCTGGAAATTCAATAAGCCTTTGTCACTTCAATAAATACAAGCAGGTGCGTCTCGTGTTCACCCGAATTTCATGGCGCTGAGCACCAAGGGCAGGCTGTCGGCATGTGAACCCCCACCCACACACGCACCTGGGCGAGGCCACCTCACCTCTGCCCTCTGCCAAACAGCTCCTAGCCACACGGCTCCTGGGTAAAAACCAGGCACTTCCGGCCCAGCCAACGGCCAGGCCCCGGGCCCCAGCTGTCTACACCCTTCTACCATGCCAGTTCTTTCTGATTTCTCGACAGAAAAACCCACGCACTGTAATCAGGTATCGCCTTGCCGAAGAGTACAGGAGACAGTCCCCACACAGCCACTCACCGTACTGCCTGAACCCTGCGTCTCCCCTCACCGGGCGTCACTTCTCAGAACACGCATAAGAAGAATTCAACACTCCTTTTGCGAAATGAAAGAGAAATTAATCAGGAGAGAGAGAAGTGTTTCTCTTTCCCTCACGAGAGACGTGGCCGTGTCCACCCCGCCCCCACTCCCAGGTGCAGGTGCGCGTGCGCCGCGCCCGACGGTAGCTGTCCAGCGACCACTCTGACCACAGCACAGAGCGAAGGCGAGGCAGGTCCTGCAGGCATCTCGTCCATGTTCTGCAAATGTGACTTCCCCTCCCAAAAGCCCCTGACCCTGACCCGCACCACGGGTTTGCACACCAAAGCAAGAGGCTACTCCCCACCTCTGAGAAGGCCAGCCATGAGGCCAGCTGCCCATAAAGCGCAGTGAGGAGGGGGCAAGGGGCCATGTCCACATGCACTGGGCGACCTCTCTGGGGGCCACGGGGCAGCGCGGGCCCAGAAGTCCTGACCCAACAGTTCTCCCCGGGGATTCAGGCAGAGACACCCCACATATGTGAGGTGCCCACATAGGAGGCTATTCGGTAGAAGAACTCTGGAAACAGTACACACACGTGCACTGTACATGCATAAGCTGATCTGTACATAAACTGCATCACATCTGGGGGATGGAATACTATGCACCTGGTAAAAAGAATAACGTGGCAAAGGGCTCCCTCGTGCACTCTTGGTGGGAGTGTGAATGGGTATGGTCACGTGGAAAACAGGATGCAGCTTCCTCAAAAAATGAACAGAACTACCCTACGATCCAGTAATTCCACTGCTGGGTATCTACCCACTGAAAACAAAAACACTAATTTGAAAAGACACATGCATGCGCATGCTCGCTGCAGCGTTATTGACAACAGCAAAGATATGGAAGCGTCCTTCCATGGATGAATGGATAAAGAAGGTGTGGTGTCCACACACACACACACACACACACACACACACACACACACACACACACACTGGAATATTACTCAGCCATCAAAAAGAATGACATCTTGCCATTTGCAACAACATGGAGGGACCTAGAGAGTATTATGCTAAGTCAGAGAAAGGTAAACACCGTATTTCACTTATACTGGTATCTAAAAAACAAATGAACAAACAGAAAACCAGACTCTTAAATACAGAGAACAAACTGGGATGACGGGGCGGGGGTGGGGGGCTGGGTGAGGTGGGTGGAGGGGGTTAAGAGGTACAAACTCCCAGTTAGAATAGAAGCTAGTCTCAGGGATAGAAAGTATGGCACAGCGAACATCATCAGTAACTGTAACCATGGTGCATGGTGACAGCTGGGGACACTGATACAGACTCGTCGAATCGCCACATTGTACGCTATTCACCTATGGTTCCCTGCTTGAAGCTTACTAACGGGAATCCATCAAAACACAAGTTTCCAAGAACAGCAGACAGACTTTCGGTGATTTCTGACTGACTGGACATTTTGCGGGACCTCCTTCTAAGGGACTCTGACACAGAGCAAAGAGGTCCAGTGGCCGTGAGTGCAGGTGAAGCCCAGCTCAGCGCCCCGGGGCGGGAGGAGCAGGCTTGCAGCCCCACAAGAGACCAGGAAGTCCAAGGAAGAAGCGGGGGTGTCCCCTGTGGGCTGGCCGGAGGGGAGGGCAGGACCTCCTAGTGAACTGTGCCTCCTTCCCTGGGGTCTCCTGTATGGTGGCACCCCGTGGGCATCTAGCGCTCCCCAAGCATCCTTGGATGGCTGTTCAATGTTCCATAATCCAATAGGATAACGTTGGACATTCAGCTCTTTGCTAATTTCCCACTTAAAATTCATTTTTTTAAAGTAGGCTCCACACTCAACATAGGGCTTGAACTCACGACCCTGAGATCAAGAGTCACACGCTCTACAGACCGAGCGAGCCAGGCGCCCCTCAAAATTTATTTTTAAAGACTGATTTTAACCACCAGCAAAACTCAACCCAAAAGCTCCTCTATCCAGAGCCTATCTGCAGAAGTGCAGATGCCACACAGGGTCACGGTGAAGCGGTCCTAAGATTCTGTCCCTTCATACGGGGGGGATGGGGGTGGGCACACACACTCAGAGCACACACTCATCGCCCTCACAGGCCTGCTTCTCTCTACGGGGACCGTCGCACACAATCCCCAGGACGTACTTCACTCCAGTCCCCGCTCAGGTCTTCCGTTACCTGCGCTCTGTGTGCACAGGCACACGTTCTATGCAATAAAACACAGTCGATGTCCACCACACTGTTCGGACTTCTTTCAAGCCAGTGAGACGCCTAATTCAGGCGGTCACTATTCTCCCCTAACAGGGGGCATGGTAGAGCGTGCTGCTCCAGTGAAGGCTTCCAGGCCCTCGGATGCCACTTCCCAGCCGTGGGGACGGGAACAGGTCACTGCCCCTCCAGCCCCCAGCCACTCCCTTAGCCCCCAGACAGGAGGTCACTCACATTACCCATGTCCAACTCCCTGGGGTACGCACACGTCTGACTACAGCGCCGGACCTCCGAAGGAACCCTCGGTTTGCGCTGATAACAGGCCAGAGCCCTGCTGCACCATCCACGGGGGGTACCAGCCGTGGGGCCCCACTGCCCCCAGTTCCTGATGAGACAGGTTTTAGGCAGCCCTGTCAGACCCACAAAGGCAGTTACGAATCTCAAGCCTCCGGCAGAGCTGGGACTCCCTCCCTCCCTCCTACATCCCGCGATCCCCCATAGGCCCGGCCAGCAGGTCCCGGAGCTCCGGAACTGCCCATCGCCCTGGGGCTGGAGCAGGTCACAGCTCAGCGGGCAGGGCTGGAAACTGCTCTCTGGGGAAGCGTCTGGCTCCACTCTGAATGGATGCTTCTCCTCCAAGAGCTCGGGGCAGAGACAAGCAGCACCCCAACCCCACAGCAGGGCGCTCCTTCTCTCTGCCATGTGCCAGGGTGTGAAGGTGTCACAGAATTGTTCAGAACGGTGCCTAAATGCGGGGCTGGCTCAGGACTGTGCTCTGGGCCACCTGGGGCGGCATCCTGCCCAAAAAGTCTCTGTAGCGGGAGTTTCACCAGGGGACCTGACTCCTGCCCCTTGCACGGGCCTAGCCCAGCTGCAGAACGACCAGGACGTCTCTCCTCTTAGCCACCGCAGGAGGGACGGGCCTTGGAGCCCTGACAAGCCCAGGTCCAGGCGGAGATTTCTTTTTTAAGTCTAAAAAAACCACAAAATGCCACTCTCTTTGTTTTCATCTTTAGTGTCTCCTTAAAAATACATAGCAGGGTTACAGAGCCAAGCCAGCTCGACCGCAGGCTGCCATCCAGCTCAAGTCTGCAAAGGCTGAGCCAGGACGAGGCCCTCTCCTTGCACCTGGCCTCCCTCCGGGACGTGGCCTTCGCTCTCTGCCCGCAAAACCCGTTAGAGAAGGCGCATGCTGCTGGCGAAAGCACCGTGAGGGCCCCCGGGGCTGAGCCCCAGGCGGGACACAAGGAACATCACTACGCCTAGTGGGGGCCGCCACGCTGACCTCCGTGCACTATGTGGTGCACACAAGCGTTTGCTCTGATTCACCAGCTTCTGCACCCCTTCAAGGGGACCCCAGAAACGCCCACTTAGGCCCTGGAAGCAGCTTACTGAGCGCCAGGCAGCAAAGCTCGTCACGTTGAGACCTTGCCCCCCCGGATCCGTGTTCAAACCACACCATCCCATGCGCCATCAACCATGGGCAGGTAGACGGCCTCGCAAGAGCACTGGGAAGGCGACAAAGTGACGGCCGCTCGCCCCCCCAGCCATGAGCAGAAGGAAGCAAATATCGCAGGTGCCATAGGAGGCCTGGAACGGTGCCAGCCTCCCCCTAACCTGGGGAGCAACAAGGTCTCCACGGCTGCCAAGATGCCCACTGTCCAGCCCCGGCACATGGTCAGAACCTCAGTCATCTCTACTTTCCAAACTACCCGCAGAGGCACCGCCGCAGCGTGACCTTTGAGGGGCCCCATACTGGACCTGATTCACCCCTCCAATCAACCCTCCCTTGTGGTTCTCATCTTCCAGATGCTTCCAGGCCCAGCTGCCGTGTGAGTGCCGAGGACCACATACAACGATGTGGGGTCGGCCTCCAGCAAACCCCACTCTCACGGCAGTTGAGACAACTGGCCTGGAAACACCAAATGCCTTCGACCCTCCAGACGGTGAGAAGGTGCCTGGGAGTGACCTCTGCTGAAGGTCCCCAGGTCAAGGGAAGCCCAGGCCCCAGATTCCAGGAGTCCACTCTGCAGCCTCCACACAGGAGAGGGGTCTACCCTCCTACTGCAGGCCAGGCTCACTGGCCCTGGTCCTGCCAACCTGTCACCTGCCCTGGAGCCTGGCGCATCTGTCCTTCCCGCGGCGTGGACTCGCACACCAGGCAGGGCGTCTCCTGAGCCCCGCGCCACCTCCCCGGTGCTTTAGAAGGCGAGACATGGAAACGTGGCAGCGGCTCTGTCACCGTCCACGTCATCTTCCCGGTGGGAAGACACGGGCTGAGGGGTTGGCCGGCCCGCACGGGCCTGAGGAGGCGCCTTCCCTCCCGGGGACCAGTGCCGGGGAGCGCGTTAGGAGACACGCAGCACAGAGGCAGAGGGGTCTCCTCACAATTCACAGGAACCAAAGTCAACTGAAAAATCTAGGAGAGCCTCTAGAACATTCCTACACTGGAATAAGCTAGGCTACCACTC